ATAAAAAATAAGGCCACTCCTTCAATGGCATAAAAAATCTAAAAATTTGGAAGTATAGGTCTCTAAGAACATTTAATTTAATAAATCGCCACAGAAATTACAGTTTTAATAAATGCATTATACAAGTTTAAAAAGGATAATTGTAAATCAATTTCTAAGTACAATATGGATTTATTAATTTGTCTAGACCGGACAGTGCGGTTACTTTGAGGAAGTTAATCAGGTTATTTATTGAACTTTTGGGGCCAACTGATTCAATGACGTTAGGTTTGTAGGTAGTTGTTAAGCTGATAATATCTAACTCTAACCGATGTACATATTCAACTAAAGGTAATTTTAGTACTAATTATTTTAGTAACTAAGTACAAATTTAATATTTTCAAACAATTTTATTATTTGTGACAATGTAGTGTAAGTAATAACACCAACTACCCAGTCTAAAGTGGATCTCATTATAAAAATAAGGTTAGTATCACTTCAGTTGTCTTTACTTGATTCTATAATATTATATAATTCATTAACTATTTAACAAATGATTTTATTTATTTATTTTACATTAAAAAATTCCGTAACAAAATATGAATAAAATACTTACATCAATATGTAATATTTTGTTTTAAGTTTGGTATTTTCCAATCATATTACGTTTAGTTGATCAAACCAAATTGTTGTATAATTGACTGATTCACATAAAATGTAATATTATCAAATGACAGGTATTTAAAAATAAATTTGCTCCCGAGGACATTCGAAAATAACACTTACTCGTATTCTGTAGATAACAAAAATTCTGCTTTGTATAATAGTATATACTATGAACATAACATAAAATGTATTTTTTCCAGTAATTAATATGATTCATAAAGTGAATAATAATAATAAATTGTAATGTCCCGATTTGAGTAAACAATAAACACATTCCTAGAGATGACGAGATCGAACACTAAAATAAAATTGTTTTATGTTTGAAAAATAGTATGTTTTTATTTCGATAAGTCCGTATTTTATACTAGTTTACAAAAGACATTTTTTTAGAAATATATTTGGTTTAATAACAGGCATTAACGCTTTGAAAAAATAACTAATTATCAGTCTACCTACAGCATAAGTCAACTAGTATTTTCACTTATGTATCTTTGTTTCCTGTAATGCACTATAAACTATATTTTGATCTAAGAGCAAACGTAATTGACTTTAAATCGTTTGAACATAATTAAAGTTTCAAATCTTACTTATAACTCATCATTAAGTTTAGATGACAAAATGTGTGAGTAAAACTTTAAATATAAAAAAAAATCATAAATACATAGTAGAAATTAGAAACTATTAAAGTGTAATTGTTGTAAAATGCCTTTATATTCATGAAGTACGATTAATGTTTAATAATATTATAGCTACAAATAAATTATTACAATACGAAACACATTCATAGAAAATTAAAATATTAAGAATATGTGGATTTTTCTTTTAATAATCTATAAATTATAAGTGAAAGTTTTAACAGCGCTGTATAAATAAATAATTTTATTTCGTCATAATACATTTATCGCAATTCGCATTACTTCAGGCTTCAGCTGACAAAACTTAAAACACTCGAAAACAGTTCATTATTGTTTGTCTGGTATTTAATTATTGAGGCATCAAACATTCGTTGAAAGCATTCAGAGCTAAAATTGAAAATGAGTTATTCATTTATCAGAAATATATTTACTCGTTTATACGAGTACCTATGTATGAGAATTCACCGGGTTTTCGGCATTGAACAAGGCAAGTCAATTTTTATCCTAAAGCAATTTTTCAAGACCATTTTAATATTATATAACATAAATAGAGGAATAAAAAAGTACCCTAAATAACCGTTTACAGAAACAAAATTGGAAAAGAATTGTATATGCCACCGATACGGATTAACCATGCATGGATTTCTAATACTACACAACAGTTTAGGTTACAAAATATACAATTATATTATATTTATCTAAAAGCAATGAAATATTTCAAACAAAATTGTGTTCAGTGTGGAGATTTTTTTATTATTATGACGTTTATTGTTTACGACATAATAATAATATGATGACCAAAATAAAAAGATTCTAAATAGTTGAGTTTCCAAAAACAGAAATTAAAGTGGGTAAAATATAGGTACCTACTGGAAATGTCGTTTCAGGTTTTTCAGACAACGCTCATCATACGTGTCCTATTACTATTACCTACCTATGCATTATTGTTCTATATTATTTATATCTTGATATACTTAATAATAAGGATGATAAAAACAATAATATCTAAAGTGTATAATTTCACAAAACTCTATTAGACGAAATGATTAACAGTTGAATCAACATTTTCTACTTTTCATATTTTCAATTTCTTTTCATTCTGAAGGAAGTTGCTTTTACTGGAATTTTCACATATTTATCGTTCTTAAGGTTTTAATTTATTAGTCATTAAATCCTATAAAAATAAACACAAAAATATGGATGTCGTGTATATAATATACATGATATGTTTTTAGTTTTATATATTTAATAATCAATAATTGATAAAAAAAAAAAGCATAATTGAGTATTTTAAACAAAAAATACTCATCATAATACTATTATAAGTACGATTTGATTTTATTGACTATAATATAACTCCATAAATCAAATAATTCATATAATATATGAACACTAATTTTTCTGTTCGTTTTAGTACCTAGTTTTTCATTTTCATTTTTTTAAATGTTTTTCATTACTTATAAGTTATAGCAATAATATTTTACAAAATCATGTGCCTATTACACATGAATTATAAACTAAAAGTCAAAAACCCTAAGTTGACAGAGAAAGTGAATGGGAAACGTAAAACCGATCACCTGCATATCGTGTATGGTATATAGACTCATTTGAATGCAATTATACAATACTTCAACGTTCTTATATTGTTTCATTTAATTTTGTACAAGTTCGATTCAAATCTTTTGTGTCCGAATGAAATTATTATTAGTTTCCGTCGCTTTCATATCAATTGTTTTTATATTCTTAAACACATGCATCTTCTCAGCTGGGACAATTACATTCATATTTTCATCGTATTGTTCGTTTCCACCAAGATGGCGTTTCCCTCGGGGGTTACAATAGTTGATAATTAGTTTTAAACCTTACAAAGCATGAAATTATACTTCGAAGTTTATCCATGTCCTTGGACGCTCATTATTTTTCCCGAATCAATTCCAAACGATCTGCATTACGTATTATCATAAATTATTCCGTATTATCACTATATTATTATATTATATTTCTTATAATTTACAGTTCAAAATGGTTTTAAAACGATTTTTCATCAACCGCCGTGCCCTAAAGTCATAACGACTGTTTATACGTTGTAAAATTGTAAAAGTATTTTATTTTATAATTTTTAATTTTAGTCTCGATAAATCTTATACGTTAATAAAGTACCTATATTATCTAATCGTTCACTATCGAAAGTGGAATGCATTGATTAGAATTTATGCATTTGTATTTATTAAATGTATATAATAGACGCCTTAGACGGTATCCGTCAGTATAATAATAGTTTGAGAAGACAGTAATTCCGTACGATATTTCTCTAGATAATATTACGTAATACTTTTGAATAATGGTTATGAAAATTAAACTGTTATACGGCTAGATTTTTGAATATTATAATATACCTAACCTGCTCGTTCGGCAATAAATTGAAAATCGAACCCATACAGTTTAAAGATAATAATATGTAAAGTGTATTACACTATTATGTATATTATAACCAAGCGGAATCGTGTAAATAGTAAACTCTGGGGGCCTATTCTCAAAGGTTTCGAAACCGGCTTTCAATCAAAAATCGGTCGAAAAGAACTCTGGTTAGGTATATAAAAAAAAACACTATTCTCAAACTATTCGATAATTTTCTACGATAGGAAATTAGGTGACAAAAACGGTTTTCGACACAACATTTTCACACGTCATAATTTCATTTTTCTTGAATATGGAAACACTAAACAGTCGTTTAGTATATAAATAGTAGTATAAATAGTATAAATTTAGTATAAATTTAAAATCGAACCCATAGAGTTTAAACTTTTAAAGATAATAATATGTAAAATGTATTACACTATTATGTATATTATAACCAAGCGGAATCGTGTAAATTGTAAACTCTGGGGGCCTATTCTCAAAGGTTTCGAAACCGGCTTTCAATCAAAAATCGGTCGAAAAGAACTCTGGTTAGGTATATAAAAAAAAACACTATTCTCAAACTATTCGATAATTTTCTACGATAGGCAATTAGGTGACAAAAACGGTTTTCGACACAACATTTTCACACGTCATAATTTCTTTTTTCTTGAATATGGAAACACTAAACAGTCGTTTAGTATATAAATAGTAGTATAAATAGTATAAATTTAAAATCGAACCCATATAGTTTTAAGATAATAATATGTAAAATACTATTATGTATATTATAACTACTCGGAATCGTGTAAATTGTAAGCTCTGGTCCGTCTGTGACACGTGTTGTGCCTTATCAGTGTGTACGCGTATATCACCGCGACGTGAGCGAGATAAGTATAACGGCCTGCACCTCATACAAGTTGTCGAGTAAAGCGTATAATATTATACCTACAGCATTACATAGATGCATAAAACAACTGCAAATATTATTTTTAAAAACATATATATTTTTAAACTGCACGCGTCCCCGAAATAGAAACGTGATTGGGGTGTAATATCTAAAAGTTGAAAACAACGAGGCGTTTTCGTTTAAGTTGATAATTATCATATTGTGTATGCCCCACTGGGAATCAATTTCACAAATTGAAAAACTTTCGACGCGACTAAGTTTTTGAAACGTTAAGACCGCGCGTAGGTATAGCAGATTAGGTTATATCACTATATACCAATAGTTTACGACGATATACCTGCACCATTCCTCGAGTGTGGTATTCTTTTTTTCGCCGTTTAATTATAACCAAAATCTACACTAACTCATGCTCGTCACGAATTCCGGCGACCATTTTTTTTCGCTCCGGCCTGTTTTCCGCCACGGGCGTATCGTAGTAATTCTGTTTGGTCATCGATTGATTCTACAAGTGACACTTGAACTTTGTTCACGGTATCCCGGATATTTTCCATCTGGTAATCACATAACACTTACGACGATAACATGTTGAATAACGTGCTTGCACCCGTCTAAAACCATATATTTACCGTTTGTCTGACCACGTTCTCGTCGACCAGTCGTGAACTGTTCAAAGGGAAAGGCGCTGCAGGAAAGTCATAATACATTATAATGTTATACAATATTGTATACCTGAGGATGCATAATCCGAGCGATAACTCAACCACACACCGATCGCAATTTTATTTACAAACATTTTAATAAGGGACATAATATTTTTAGCATTTTTCAAAATACAAATCAACAAATCATTTCCCGAATGAGCCCAAGTCCAGAAATGGTTACAAAATAATATGATTGTTTTTTTATTATTATTATTATTATTATGTTAGGTAGGTCTTACGGTTAAATCATATACAAAATCGTCGATTTTGAAGATTGTCGAAAACATAATATACTGTCTAGTGTTTACACTCGCTTTGGGTTCAATACAATATGTAACCACTGTAATATATACATTCAAAATCCTATTTAAACATGTACCCACTACCCATGCTAGAACTACAATAACACGTAATAGTATACTGCGTCGAACCTCCAAGGATCCAACTACACTCTGGGCCAGAATTGAAAAATATACATTCTAGACATCTAGGTAGGTATACCTATACTGTTATAGGTACAATACCGTGTAATTTTGTATGGTTCAAAAATAAAATCGTAATTGAAGCATTCGTAGTCCACGTGTATGAGTGTATAATGACAGCGGGTTTGTAATTTAAGTGAACACTTTCTAACGATTATGTATAGTCGTATAGATAAATAAACAAGGCGAGTGGTATAATAATAACAAACATTCGACCGACATGAGACGATCTCTGGACGTCTTGTGTTCTAGTGGTTTTTTTTGTTCAATTTGTTGATTTTCTTTTTGACAACCAATTTATCATATCTCGAACATTACCAAGGTACAGTCTACATATAATATCATTGCCATGGTGTAGTTTTCGTGGTTAAGCACCTTCAAATTTAAAAATTTGGATATTAACACGTTAGCTCATCTACACACACTGGACGAAGACTATTATGTCTGAATAACAATTATCGGGTCAAGGTGACAATATTCAAGTTGAACAAGCAATAACAAAACGATTTACTAAGCTAATTACTTATGGAAGCAGTACATAATTTTTACACAAATTGCATATTATACAACTTTTGATTTATTCGTTTTTATTTTTTATATTATGTGCATAAAGGATAAAGTCAGTGTTATAATTTAAAAACTTAAGTTTTTGTTTCATAACAAAAATGTTAATTTGTTAGAATCACAAATCAGTGGGTGCAATATTATTGTTATCACTGTATTCTAATTTATTTAATAAGTGTATAATATATATGTTATATGTATATGAAATCAAAAGGTTGTTTTTAACTAAAAAGTATACACTGATTCAATAAACCTTGTAACCTCGTGAAGCTGGAGAAAAAAATATATGCTATTTATTCGATTCGCGTTCCAGAATATTTTATGAAATTACGAATGAAACTTTTTAAAACATCCTACACAACGAAAATGGTACATTCAGTTTATCCCAAGTTTTAAAAATTGTACATACTTAAGATAAAGAGTTGTAGAGATAAAGAGTTGTAGAGATAAAGATTTCCATAGTAAGGGAAACAAAGTTGTCTTGTTATAATATAAACTAATCCTTCGTTATAAAGTTTGGATTTTACTTACGCAGAATAAAATGAATTAATGATGACATTCTATAACTATTCCGTACATTACGAAACTTAACCAATGCATAATAAGCACTTAAAAGTGAAAATACTTTCCCATACCTAACCCAACTAAAAACTGGTCTAGTTTGATCAATATGTTTTTGTGACGTGATGTTGGTGTATAATATTATTATTATCGTTTGCCTCTCAAAATAAAAGTAAAATTAAAAGTGTCAAAGTAGGTACTTAGAGAATATTTATGGGTTTTATATTATATTTGTATATACAAATATGGTATTACGCCATTTCATCATTAGTATTACTAACTATAATAGGTGTTATATCACGCAAAGTGTTAAACATGTTTAGTTATGTTCACTGCAAGTTAACACATGCTAACTAATCTTTGGTGAGGTATTAGACACCTAGTACTTGCTACACTTGTCTACTATAAAATGGTAATTTTATTTGGCGAATAACTCTGTATGCTTAATGCTTATGTAAGTCAATTACCAAGTTTAAAATTCCAATAATTTTCATTTTTTTTTTTAAACAATAATAATAAACCGTTCAAATTCATTGTGCACTGATATTTGTTTTATTTTTATTTTATTTTATTAGTTTTACGGGCTTAGCCCTTTTTAAAATTACAATATATATTTTTTATATCAGACATTTTTACAATAAGAAAAAAGTAAATTAAATCTATACAGCTTACATTAATATAAAATACAATTATCTGATAACAATAATAACTTATGTTGAATATATATATTAAAAATTTAGCAAATCCTCGAAGGAAGGCTCTGCATTGGTAGACAACATTAGGCGTCTTAAAGGCCCGTTAGCCATATAGTTGGTGGTGGCGTGAGGGACACAGAAGAGGGCCTTTGATGGACGGGATGGCACTTTAATGGAGATTTGAGAGAGAAGGACTGGATAAACTATATTATTGTTTAAAATGAATTTAATACCTGCGACATGGCGACGTTCGGCCAAGGAGGCCATACCTAGATGAATAGCAATCGGTGTATAGTTATGAGGTGCACAAGGTATCTTAAGTATATGACTAGCATAGAGTAGGAACCGGCGCTGAACACTCTCAATTTGCCTTGCATTATCTGCAGTATGAGGGTCCCATACTACGGTCCCATATTCTAAAATGGGTAGCACAAGCTCACAGAAAAGTGTTTTTAATGACGATTCAAGCCGAAAGTCCTTTATTAATCGGATGACAAGACCAAAAGTTTTCAAAGCTTTACAACACACGTACTCGATGTGAGCAGTTGGTTTAAGATTGCATCTTAGCTTGAAACCAAGATCCATGACATAGTCCATAGCACGAGTAACAGCTGCATTGTTGATGAAGTATGGGGACATTATAGGAGATCGGGATCTAGTGAAGGTCATAATTTTGCGAGATCAAGTGATAAACTTAAAGTGTTGAAGCAATTTGAGAACCGATCTAGGTCGGATTGAAGTTTTGTACAATCATCTGGCGTGGTTACGCGTAGATATAACTCGATGTCATCTGCAAAACACAAAAATTGACGGTGATGTAGCACACGATGTTATATATTAAAAATAACAGATTTTTACTTTGCATGTTTTTTTCGTAGTTTTTTCAGGAAATGATATTATAAACAGGAATGACTGGAAATTTATAAGGACTGCATAGTAGATGCTAGTACTTAAGTATGATATTTTAAGTGTAAACGGTACATACATGAGAGGTATGTTTATGGGAAACATTATAATAGTCACCCATTAAGATTTGACAATTTTTATTAAAAGACGAATACTTATAAACACAAAATCGTCATCCTACAAATATAATTTTTAAATCTAAATAGTAAATAATGTCATTGTGTTTGCCATGCCAAAATAAAATGTATTAAAAATTATGGCAATCAATATTTTTCACCATTAATGGTAACATATTATATTACAGTATATGCAATCGTGAGCGTCCATTGAGGGGGCAAAGATCAAAAGGACATGTCCCCCCCCTAGCGTTTTTATACTTATATGATATGCTTTTTTTTTTAATTGTTTTAATTTGAAACCACCAAGTTATTATATAAATAATTATGGATGTAATGATACGTAATTTTACCTGTGACAGTATAAATCAAGCAAATGTAATTTTTAACGTAGAGCAGTTTAAATTATGTCTTTATCTCATCGAAGTGGGTGACCTGTTTCAAAACGGATTCTAGTCAGTATTTATTTTACCACCGTCGACTTTGTCAAACTTCTATAATTTTTTATCGACTCGCGATTGTCTTTGATGTTTGCATTCGCGACACGGTCTAAGAATTGGCTTAATTCCAACACGGTCCAATTCGCTTGGATCTGATGTTTTAGCGGTAACGAAGAAGTCGCCCATGCCAGCCAGCTATATATACGGTTTGAACCTATATATACCACGAAAAACGAGCAAAATATTTTTACCGTGAACCAAACAACGGTCCGATATCGATGGACTAAATTAATAATGGAGAGAAAATGTTCGGTTATAATATTATTATACGATATACGAAAATAGAACAAGTGCAGCGTGTAGGTGGGGTAGTGGCGTATTTGAAGCTCGGCCAAGGGTAGAGAGGGATTGATTTAAATTGTTTGACACAACACTTGATAATATAAAGGGCTCTTATAATCGACGCGACACACTAAACAACTTCTTGAATGTTTATTAACAGTAGGTAATAAACTAATAACTAATATTCATTTTTATTTTATGCAACTTTTTACAACTTGGGAGAAAATTCAAGTGCATTGATATAGAAATTTTAAATTGTTTGCAATAATTACATTATTATTATTTACCTGAAATAACCATAATAATATAGTGTAATAATAAATTAAAACAGCCAGCCATCATATTGTATAGGTGCCATTTAATGGTAATAAAATATAATTGTCGTAGGTATTGCCTAATAATACCTAAAATAACATATCGGCAGCGAAGTTCATTATAATATAACTTTATAACAAAGTTACAAAATTAAATTGACAAAAAGTGACGTACCAACTTCAGCCATCAAGAGCACCAGTAGATATTTATAAAACGAAAAAATTGTGTTGGAAAAAGCTCAATACTGTGCAAATCGATGACGATGAGTGAGTTTTGATTGAAAAGGTGTATACGTTTACAAATGACTGTACAATAAATATTATACGATGTTTTTTTTAATTGATTATAATTCTTTTTTTTCAAGCAGTGAACTATAGCAGGCTTTTGCCTCTACTAGTAGATGGAAGTTTATTGAAGGTGGTTATTAAAATGTTTGGTCTACCCATGTTAATGGATAGGATAGGGATTGATTCTACGTTTAGTGGTTGGAGGGGGTGAGTTTTACCTAGGAGTCAGATGTGGGTATGAACGGAGAGAGAGTTTTTGTAGAACATCGATTTGGATTGAGTTTGAATAGAATTT